TCTCCTGCCATCTGATTTTTACACTGGAGATCCATTTGAATAGAGAGGTCCATGGCTTAAAAACATATTTGAAACCCACCGGTTCCTTTATAAGTCTGTTGGAAGTAATCAGTCTGGTTGACCCATGCAGGTGAGGGAACAAGGGCTTGGCTGTTTCCCGGAGTCTAGATTCCTCCTGGGCAGCGTTTCCTACACCCAGCTGCACATCTAACCCTCTGAGGAGCTTCCAAAAATACTCTGGTGCCTTCTCCGTGGATCAAAGACAACGTCACAGTACAGAGTCCCCAGCGATTCTAGCCTGGTGGAGAGCCATCGCTTAGTGTGCTCAGGAGCTATCCAGAACTCCCAGTCCCCTGCCTAAATATTTCACAGAGAACCTCTTCATACCAGTGAAATCCCTCGTAGCAACTCTGAGTCACTCAAGCTGACCGGTTAGTGGATTTGACCTCACAGTATCTCAATCCCTGAATCTAGTTAAAGGCTGGAGAATATCTCTATCCCTTAGAGCAAACTAAAATCAGGTTGTATTTCTCTGCTTTATTTTTGCAGAATCTGAAAAGAAAGTAACCTCTGAGTGTGAGGTTTTTAATAGGAGCTTTATTTCCCTCCCTAGATAATCTGTTTCCTTTCAGCCATAGACGAACGAACGTTATTTATAAAAGGAACACAGAGAACTCTGATCTGCTACAAAACCAGCAAACTAAAATTCATGACCTGGGACTAAAGCATATTTCGCCTCATTAAATCTTCCTCAACGAGAAGCCAGAAGGAACCATCCTCCGGGCTAAAAATACCATGCGGAGCTCCTTGCGACACCGGCGCATCCTTCAGTGGCCGGTGACAGCTAAGCCCTGGAGGAGATCTGAGTGTACCCTTCAGCCTCAGCGAGCAGAGTGTACCCAAGGACGACCAGACTGGAAAAAGCAGATGACAATTTTACTTTTTTCTCTCTGCAAACTAAGGCTTTGGATTGGAAGCCACCAACTGACTGCTAGAACGCTCTGGGCTGACAGCGCTCCCCTTCCCTTTGTAACGGGGGCTGCGGTGGGTGACACAGCAAGCAGCCCAAGAATCTGAGAATGAAGGGGATGGAGTTGTCCCCCTGTTGGTTCAACTAAGAAATCAGCATGTGTGGATCACAGCTGAGAAGTTCCAGTCCCCTCCCTCCAAGGCCTGAACATCATGACCATGGTACTGAGTCTAAAGGCAGAACACGAGGACCATCGGGGTCCAGGGAAGGATGTGCTCTGAGGACAAGGCACGCACTGCACTGCCCAATGGGGAGCAGCCCAGGGGGCGCGGCCATAGTCAAGGACGGAGAGAACAGGGTTTGTGGGGAAGGCTGCTCCGGACCATGGGGCGGAACCCAGGTAATCTCAGTCCCAGCCTGGCCATCTCTGGGCTGTGTGACCTTATAGTATGGAGCACCTGCCCTCACACCTCCCTGCTGCCTCACTTTCCTAATCTGTCAAATGAGGATGTCGCCCCATCATCAGATTACCATGGGGATTACGTGAAGCCCTTAATACAGAACCTGACTCACTGCAGGCACCCAACAAATGTTAGCGAATAAACACACGAGGAAACACAATAACCACAGCGGCGTGATTTTATTCCTAAACTGTGAGTTTGACTCGTGTGAGCAGGTGAGAAAGGGGGCATGCTCCGGCGCCAACAGACTGTCTGCTAGACATGAATCCGTTCCACCCAAGCTACTCCTTGTTCCCATAGGCTCCTACCTGGCCAAGTCCTCCCCCACATGTATCCTCCCCCCGAGAGCATCATGGTGCCTGTGAACACTCCCCAGACTTCCAGCTCTGGAAAACAGCCTGACCTGCTGATATGTTTTCAAGATTTCACAACTCATTTTTCCTACTTCCAACAAAGTCCCTCCAAAGCAAACATAAAGAAGGAAAGCTGAAGCTCTTAGACAATCATGAAAGGCATGCTTTCGTGAGGACATGAGGGTATCTCTGAAGAGCTGGAAATACACAGGATTAGGACTGAAGGGCTGGAATGGGGAGGGACAAGCAGTGGCTTGGCTCATCAGCATTCGGTCTATACTCCTGGGAGGAGCTGTTTGGAGGCTGCAGGAAGATCCTGAACCTTTCCCCAAAGTACCCATAGACAGTCGTTGGCTGAGTTTAGACTCCTTCCTCGGAAGGCAAGGGTGTGAAATCCAATCAGTTACTGGTTTAATGGCATTTAAGAATGCACAACGTAAACAATGAATCTTGGAACACTGAAAAAATAAAATTTAAAAAAGTAAAAATAAAATAAAAACAATGCACAGCATTTTGCCCAAGATACACTATCTTGGATAAAAGCGTGATAAATGGTTGCACTAATTAATTGGCCAGTTGACATGCAGGGTGTCTGTTCTTCCTCTGTCTCGTTGGTGAATCCCCTCCGCCCACCCTTCTGATTTCAAGAGTACCCCACCTTGCAGGAGAAGGGGGCTCTGGGGACAGCACGCTGGGTCCAGAAGCTTATGTTCTATCACCACCTAATGGCCCTTCTCCATTATTACAACTCACTAGGGTCACCAAGCAGAAGCATGCTTGCACAGGTAGGTGTCCTCCTGAAACTGTTTTGTAAAGGAAACATTTAAAATTTTTCCTCAAGGAACTCTGTAGGCAATACGTCTCATTCTCTTCATGCATCTCTCACCTTTAGCCTAGAAAACAAAGAACTCAGAAAACCACACACCGCCTTTATTGCCCATGTGGGATGTGCAAATGAAGACTCCAACCCAAAGAAATGCAAGGAGACCCCAGATGGGAAAAGAGCAGAGGGCAGAAGAGAACAGTTCTGATTCAGGGTTTAGAAAAAGTGCGCCTGGATTTTCGTGTAGTTGTTTTTCCACTTAAAAAAGCAAGGGCACCTGGGGGGCTCAGTCAGTGAAGCGTCTGCCTTCAGCTCAGACCATGATCCCAGCGTCCTAGGCTCCCTGCTCAGTGGGGAGTCTGCTTCTCCCTCCCCCTCCCCCCACCCCCTCGTGCTCTCTATCTCTCCAATAAATAAGTAAAATCTTAAAAAAAAAAATCAAATGAGAAACCGTTACTTGGAATCTGGGCCTTCTGTAGACTGATAAACTCTCTTGTACCTCTATTAGTTTCAGATCATTAATTATTCCATTTTTCTGGTCTTTTTATCAGAATGACTTGGCTTATTCACGTGGGGTTTTCTTTTGAGTTTCTTTTTTTTTTTTTTTACATATTCATAAAGCTGCTTGGTTTCTAGAAATCTCCTATACTGATGAAGTATGTGAGGGTTTACAACAGTATTTAGATACTGCAAATTCCGTACTGGGAACTCAGCAGCCACAGAAGCCACGGAGGCCACGGAGTCGAGCCTGCAAGAAAGCCAGTGCTGTTTACTTGGCATTTCAGACCTGAGTGGAGTCCACATTGCAGGAATACTTTCAAGAGAAGGAAGTGAGAGTAAATAAAACTACACTCATCCAATGTTAATTTTCTGATTACAGAAAGACAATATAAGAAAAAAAGTAAGTGATCACCATTGTTCTCTTGCTTATTATTAGCACAAATAGTTATTTTCATTTGAAAATACAAGAACCAGGAGAAAATTGGTATCCCGCTAAATAAATCTATCTCCATGTGACTCCACCACCAAAGGACTAAAATTCAGCCCAAGTGACAGCAAAGAGCTTGAGGACTACCTATGACTGGAGTTGTTACTAAGTATACCCACTCTTGAGACAGAACAACACTTAATGCAATAAAGTACAAAACAGAAATTAATTTTTAATCACATGCATTTTCTTTCCACTCTAGTCTCACCTCATGTTTAGCAAAGAAAGAAATGTTTTTCAGGCAGTCTTCTTCAACAATTGGGCACAAAATATTTTAATTCTCTCCAAAATGCCTCTTTTTGTTACTAGGGTAACAAGAAAAGAGCTGTTGCAGAGTTCCTCTGAGGCACACAACCTCTGCCACCACGCACACGTTCCCAGGTGATACAAACAGGCTCAGCCACAAAATCGATAGGCAGACGGAGGAGGAGGTCAAGTTAATGGCCACCCCATGGGGAAATGCCATGATCACTCTTAAATAGGACCACATCGAGGGGACAAGCTCTTCTGACAGAACGGAAGCAAAGCATGCAGCAAGAGAAAGGCAAGGACTAGCACAGACAGGAGAGAGGAGAGGGGTGTCAACAAAATCTCATCAGGGAGGAAAAATCCCCATGATAGACTGGGATGGGGCGCTTGGGCAGAGAAACGCTTGGAGCCTACCTGGTGCACACGTCGTCGGAGCTGGACCAGCTCCTGGTGAACTCCGTCATCAGGAGGCACAATGACAGAATCGAGCTCTGCAGGTCCCAGCCTGGGGCTGCAAATCAATGAGAAGGAACAGAAGCAGCCACTCCTTCGTGCAGAAACGTGCAAAGACAATGGGGTACAAATTTATCTGTCCTTACCATCATCCCCACATGTGTGAATGGCAGACTTACATTTAAATAAGGTTTCAGAGAGGATGTGCACAGCTGTGTGGACAATACAAAATAGGACGTAACAAGACAACCAGTGTCGTTTGAAAACATGGACCAAATAACCAGGACAACCAAAAATGCCCATCCTGGTGCAGACAGAAAGGTTGTGTTAAGAACCCAGACTTGGCAACAGACAGACTGAGTTCAAGCAGAACCACGTAGAGACTATAAATAAAGAAATCAATGTTCCATGGGACAAGAGATCTGCCATTAATCTTTATTTGTATGATTGTTTTATGGAAAGCTCTTTATTTTCAAAGCTCTTTTCAGCTAATTCTGAGCCAAGTGGCAGAAGGAACATACAAAGAAATACTTTTATTACACCACAAAGAGAAGTTCTAAATTTTGAAATCATTTTTCAAAATCGTTTTTTTCTTCCAGGGCATTAGTAAGAAGATCTATTCATGCAGAGCAAAAAAATTAAAAAAAAAAAATTTTAAGCAAAGGCCAAGGATGTCAGGCACATGAAAGAATGCATGAGTCGTCTTCACATAGAATTTCACGTTGCTAAGATTAGGTAGACATATCCATGTACATCTAACCTCATCAGGTGGTACAATCCTCAGTAAACCCGGGTGTACCGAGAGAGGTGGGCTAGCTTCACGCCAAAGCGTTTTGTTGAGTTTGGTTTGTGAGCAGACAGTTGAAATACTGCTTCGTAGCTTAGGTTTTCTGAAAGAAAGGGAAAATACCAGGGAGAAGACTTCAGGAGAGAAAACCAGTGTTTCCCACGATCGTCACTATTTCTCATGCTTTAGGGGGAAGTATTCCCTTGGACACTATAAACCATTACTCATCATTTGCTTTCAAATGCGAGGAAAGGAAAGGAAATTCTTTTCATGGAAAACCAGACCAGGTCGATATACCTTCTCTGTACTAGCACATTTCGAGCACTGTAAGGAGACATTGACTAATGTCTCTGGTTACAGTTTCCCACTGATATTTCAGATAATGCAGAGGCCAAATCGACGAGCTTAGTCCTGGGGAAGGAAGCTTAATGGTCCACCCCTCAGCTGGAGGACAGTGTTGAGCAGCAGCCCTTGGAGAATTGTTTCATACTAGAGATCATTTCTCCTGGGCCTTAATTAAGCAGCAATTTCAGACACAGGAAATGAGAATTCCTTCATCGTTCCATTCATTGTTGTTCCTGGCTTCTCCACATTCTCCCTAAAGTCAAATCTTTTCCAATAAAAAGCTCCATGAGTGAATGATGGGTTTGCATCGGACACTGAAGGGGGCCTGCCCAGTTGCATGCATGACCGCGTCGCCATGCTGGATTCGGAAGGATGCTGAGTCTCTCGGGAGTCGGAGGTAGGATTTGGGGGTGGTGTCCCAGACCCTCCTTCAGCATCAGGCACTCTGACCTCACAACACACCACTATGGACGGATTCCAAATGAGGGAATCCATGAAACAGGCAAATGCGCTTGCGCGCCGCAGCTGTAGTTGCCTTTTTTTTTTTTTCTTTTTCTTCTTTGAATCAGCCTACAGAAAGCCATCTGGCTACAAGAGGGATAGTCTGAGCTGTGGCACTTCACATTCGATATATATTTTTAATTACCACAATAAAATTGCATAATTTTAAAAGAACCTTGTAAGCACAGCGAATAGAAATGGATTTAAACAGTACTTACAAGTTTTCACTTTGGGGGGCTTTTTGGTATAAGAATAAATAGTCAGGATATTTCCCTTCCCCAACATTCTTCAGACAGAATTTCTAAAAGTAAACTCGCTCATTTTCTTTCTTTCAAAAAATATTTTTGCAGCCCATTCATTAGAAGTGAGAGCAACAACACTGGTAAGATTAACAACAGGCTTCTCAATGGTAACAACAGAAGAAAATGTTTAAATTTTCTTAAATAAAAGAAATGGTTTTATTTCCAAAATGACAACCATTAGGCCTTCAAGGGGAGGTCTGTGTGTCCAGAAAGAAACCACCTGGGAAACGTCAAATGCTGGGCCAGATTCGGTTTGAAATGTCCATGATCTGATAACCATGGGCTACTCTCACCAGCTCCGAGATTTCCTAAAAATATAGGAAATTTTTTAAAAATTCGTTTTGATTTTATTGTCATAGATTTCTGTTGGTGAAATTTGTTTATATTAACTTTTTATGTATAAGAACAGCAAGGAAGGAGATTCACGGTAATCGAATTGGTCTTTGGTACACAGGGTGGCCCTGTCCCTGAGCTAATATTGCCAAAGCACCGGGATTTCTTTTTCCTCCTCCCGCCGAGCCTTTGCCCACCCTTCATGCCACAGGCTCCAAGACGCACTGCGGACCTTTACTAAACACCTGCTCTGTGCTTCAGCCCCTCCCTCCTTCTCTCCTTCCCCAGCCCCCTGATGTCTGCGGCCCCCAGATCTGCCTCATGTGTTTCCGTGGAGACAAGGAGACCAAAAAAATTTCTAGTAAGGAAACTGGAAGAATTGTTCTAACTTAAATTTTAAACCTTCTAGCATCAGAGCACACTTTAGACCTCACTACCCAGAGAATAAAGTGCTACCACAAGTCTGGTCACGAGGTTAAATAATATTAATAAGATCACAACACTTGCCTCGGTATTTGCTAAGTGTCTGGAATAGCCAGATATTTCTGTAGCGTCAATGATCTTGACTAGTTCTCACACAGACGGTCTTATCTATGTAGCCCACGGTATTTGAGCATTTCTTCTAGGTCCTCAGTACCCACTATCATTAGATAGTCTCATCGTCTCATTAATATATTTACACAGCGCCCACCGGACTGTTGAGAACTACCTGGCTATCCTACATCGTCAGAAGTTTTAAAATTCAAAGCAGCAAGCGTCCTTGTCAAAGACACGTAAGGTGATTTTCACCTGTTCCATGAGGTTTCCACGTGGGCCTTCTGGTCGATACTTGATAAATGAGGTTCCTCCCGCTCCCTCTCCAGCAGCAGTATTTCCCTTTCAACAACAGCCTGCACTGCGATTGTTCCAGGCTGTCATTTTACGGTCACCACCATGAACCCTGACTGTCACTCCCCTATGGCTCGGTGAGTATCTGGGCTGGGACGGGTCAGTGTACTAGAACGCCAGTAATGGAGCACTCTTCCACCCCAGGACTATGTGCTTACCTGGAAAAGTTTGAAGAAGTAAAGCATGAAGAGGCCTAAGAATCTTCTCCTTCTTCCTCTCCGGCCTCTTCTTCTTTCTCAGCTTCCTCAGCTTCCTCTTCCTCTGCTTCCCCTTCTGCTCCCTCTTCTGTAACTTCTTCCGTCTTATTTAAACAAAAATTTCATTATTTGTGAGAAAGGTCACAGATACACTGAGGAAAGAAATGTAAACTCTCACACTAGAGATGAGGGCGTCCCACACTCCCCACCCAACACAGACACATCCATCACACACACAATATACACAATACACATCACACACAATACACACAACACACATCACATGCACAATACACAACACACCTCACACACAAAACACACACAATATACATCTCACACACAATACATACACACATCACACACACAACACACATCACACATGCAACAAACACATGCACCGAACACATACATAGTACACACAGCATGCATCACACACATTAAACAACACATACACCTATCACACACACAACACACATAACACACACATCACATACAACACACGCATCACATATATCACACACATAACACACACACCATATCTCACACACAACATACATCACACACAGTACACACACACACACAGGCCCCACAATTTGGAATGGTGTTGCAGAGCACTACATTAATTCTAATGGGTATTCATGATTTCTCTTAAGCAGGTAGTCTTCACTCATATTAACAGACTATTGTCATCAAATTATTTTAAAAATTTAGAAGGCTATTAGAATAAAATACAAAAGGAATCTCAGCGAATAGAATTCTATCACAAAAGATGAAGCTTTTAAGTGTGTAAGTTGGTTATATTTTGTTATAGGAATCTGATTTTTTCAAGCCAAAGTCATCAGCAAACCTATGACACATAAGATGAAATTACTTCCAAATTAATAGTACCTCCTATCTTTATATATAAAAATGGGATTTTTAAAAATGGAAGTTTGTCTAACAACAAAGAAACTAGTTATTGGAAAGATGTAATTTACAGATAATTTTAAAAATCATAGCATAGAATAGGCTAGAAATAACCTTTAGGTCTAGGAATAGGGATTAATTTGACAAAATGACATTAAAGCTAATGAAGCAGATCGATACTTACAGCCTTCCCTCCCCCAAAAACCATACACACAATTCATGAATGAAAGTAGATTACAAAAGAGTATTCATCAAGACTTGATGTGTGTGTGTGTGTGTGTGTGTGTGTGTGTGTGTGTGTGTAACTAGTGGCTACCTCTGGGTAATGGGGCTGTAAACTATTTTTGTCTTCTTCTTCAATCTGTACTTTCTAAATTTTTTATGAAGTCATGAACTATTTCTGGGGTGCTTGAGTGGCTCAGTCAACTGAGCATGTGACTCTTGGTTTCAGCTCAATTCATGATCTCAGTGTCATGAGATCAAGCCCCAAATATGACCGTGCTGGCTGTGGAGCCTGGTTAAGATTCTCTCCCTCTCCTTCTGCTCCTCCCTGCTCATCTAAAAATAAATAAATTTAAAAAAAAAGATTATGAACTATTTATTTGTTTTAAAATATTTTATTTACCTATATATTTTAGAGAGCAAGAGAGGGAGAGCAGGTGCACGCACACAAGCAGGGGGAGGGGGAGGGAGAGGAACAAGCAGACTCTGCCCAAGCACAGAGCCCTGTGCAGGGCTCAACCTCATGACCCTGAGATCATGACCTGAACAGAAATCAAGAGTCTGATGGTCAACTGAATGAGCCACCCGGGCACCCTGATCATGAACTATTTCTAATTTTAAAAAGCAACAATAGGTTTTTTTTTTTAGGGGAATTTCTTTTGACCTTCCGGACCCTCTTTAATGTTGATGACCTTCATCCACAAAGGACTTGATGAGACACTGAGATAATACATTTGGTGATCTTTGGTAAATTATTCTCCCTATCCTTGAGTTCTCATCTTGATTGAGCTCTTTGATTAGCATTTTCAAACAATTAATCAAAAAACATTCATTCACAATATTCCAAAAACTCTGGGTTACAGTGAAAGTCACTGAACGTCAGCTCATATGAGGAACTGGGATATGAGGGAAAATCTGAGAACGTCCCTTCAAACCTGCCTTCAGAATCCACTAACATTCTCTCAGCTGATTCCTCTACACACAGACACGATTCCATCCCTGCGAAGGTTTAAATTTAAAACTCCTCAATGCCCAGGTAACATGCCACAGACTCAACAAGCAAGAATCTCAATCTGCCTCATTTGGACATGTAGCACATCGGCAGCAATAAAAAAATCACATGCTGCCCTTGCAGGGCTAAATTAATGAAATTATCGTTAAATGCCTTATAATGAAGTCCCTTCCCCAGTGCCGATTAGGAAGCAAACCAAAATTTCTCAAACAAGAGAAAGATCGTTCTTGGAAGCTTTCACAATTAAGAATTAGAACATTTCAACAAGCAGGAAAAGAATGGTAAAGAAGAGGATTCATCTGTAAAAAGGGTAAGCCGAGTTACAGACCTCCTCGGGTCTGGGGTCTCTTTCCCCCTTCTCATTTCCTGCAACTCATTTCAATCACTGAAAGAAAATTAAGGATTTGGGTGTTGCTTGGGTTTTTTTTACTAAACACAAGTTCTTAATACAAAACAAACATTATTGTCTTTGAAATAGGTGGACCTTTTATGATGAGTTTTTGAAATTGGCTTCCCCCTGCCAATACCTCAGGTTACCTAGAACTTATATTCTCATCCAGTGATTCTGAGTTGATGGGGCGTAAGAAACACCTGAAGAGCTTGCTAACCCGTAGTTTGCTGGGCTGCACCTCAGAGGTTCTGATTCAAGAGATCTGGGGCCAGGCCTGAAAATGTGCATTTGCAGAGGTTCCCAGGTGAGGCTGCTGCTGCTGCTCTGGGAACCCCACTTTGAGAACCTCCACTGCATCTCTATTCCCTCCCTTGAATCATGCTGATTGATGGTCAGAGGACAGTGAGCACTCACAAGGAGCAGGTTTGGCATTCATCTTCCAGGGAGCGTATGTTTCTTCCCACACTTGTGCATGTAAGTTAGAGTCATATTGTAATTACATCATTTAAATAAATATCATGGAAACCAATGAAATAGAAGCATGAAAGGATTTTTTTTTCTACGTGAACTTAACGAAATGCTTTAGAAAGACCCAGTACTTGTAAGTCACCTTAAAAACTCATCATCAAATGAGGTGCCAAAAAACTGGGACACCCAGGGAGGTCTCACGAAACCCAGACAGATTACACACCTGGCTTATTTTGTAGGCATCTTTAAATTTCTGCTCTATTTTAAAGAAGCCAAAACTAATTTTCTACACAGAAAAAGGAGTTATGTTTGTGTTAGAAAGACAATAGGTGACTCTAATCATTGAACTCTCGTTTAAAGAAATAGTCTTTGTCCTGCATCAAAAACACTAACAGTAAGTATACATGTGTATATTTCAAATTGGGGTGAAAATTCTAGACTTCTATGTGTTTACAACTTAGCACTTGAAGTGACTTCTTCAACTGGTCAAACCACCTTCAGTTCCAAACACAGGATGTGAGGTCTTCCCTTGTACCTGGGAATGTTGGTTTTTATTTAAGTATACAATCTACAAGCAAACTTATCAGCCAAACCAATAATAGGTTACATTACATTACAGAGGATAAATCTTACTTCCTTAAATGTGTCTTTAATAGCTTTAATATTATTTTTTAGTTGGGTTTTTGTTTTGTTTTATTTTGTTTTTCTTTTGTTGGTGTTGGTTTTAAGTAGGCCACACGCCCAGCGTGGAGCTTGAACTTACAATCCTGAGATCAAGACCTGAGCTAAGATCAAGAGTCAGAGGCTTTACTGACTGAGCCACCCAGGAGTCCCTCTAGTTTTTCTTTTAATGCTTTAACTGTGCTTTTAAATCTTATATCCTCAGTACTCTTAATTTCTGAATACTTATTTTGTATGATTCTTAATCTTCTGTCTCTGTGACACTTGATTCTCTTTTTTTTAAGTTCTTCTTATTCTACCTTTATTCATAGAAGGCATTTATTTTTAAATTCTATATCTTATTGAATGTATATGTTTCCTTTACATCCTTAATTTTAAGTCTTTTTATAATCCTTTTCCTTCTTGTCAGTGGGTGTTTTCTCTTGTGGGCGTAGGAGGGTGGCCGAGAGGAAGGCTGTGCCCCAACAGGAACTCAGAGGCTCTTGCTATGCAAGCTCTTACCCCGCTTCAATCCTTGCCTCCTAAAGGAAGACAGACTCTCAACCTCAGTTCTATCAGACAACTGAAGGCATGCCGGTCCCAGCCCTACAGGGCCTCATTCACCAGTCACGGGAGGCAGGCTCCTGGCGACTCTATGGCTCGCAAGTGGATGAGAACCACTGCTCTAATATAACCTCCAGGTTGGGGGAGGGCATGTTAGAAATTCTTCCCAAATTAGTCACGCTCTCCCTGGATAGATTCCCACTGGAGCCATGTTATGGTTTCCTAATGTCGCGTATCTTCCAGACACTTCATGACGTGTTGTGTGTGTGAACTTCCATGATACACAGCTATCTTTGACTCGATACTACATGCTATCTTGACATCCGGTAAAATCTGGAAGGCTGGAAATGGCCAAAGATTAGGTCTCCTACCCAAGCAGCCTGCTTTACCAAGGACCCAGGCACCACCGTGCCTGCCTTTCCCCTGGAATTATTCCAACAAGCCAATCACAGGGCACACTCAGCCCTCTTGATACCACAAAGCCTGCCTCCCACCCCTCCAACTGTTCCCACTGTCCCGAGGGCACCCCCGTGCCCCTGCACTGTGTTGATGTCCTCATCACCTTGGGCTTAGAGAATATGTCATAAACTGCCGTGAATCTCATCTGCCCCGTCTCAGGGGCTGTGTGCTGGCCATCCCCATGACCATCAGAAGGCATCCTTCCCCTAACAGGGAGGTGCACAGGAGGCATTCGAAACAACACGGCTAAGCACCATGCAAGCTGCATTAACTGTGCACATTGTGCAGTAAGGTGGAAGGGGAAGAACGGTAGCATGACCTGGTCCAGCCCCGCAGACTCCACAGGCAACACCTCCACCAGGGGGTTCCAGCTAGGGACATCATCACACCCTATTTCTCCATCCACCTCTCTTCGATAAATT